TTTAATTTTTACAATATTTTTTATATTGTATTCGAAAATTGATATTACCTTAGGTATTATTGTAGGAAGTGACCGATTAGTAGAAAACGCCGTCATAGAATAGTGCATTATACTATCGTAATCATATGGTAATCCATAATTAGTCACGATACTATTATTTAATAGCTCGAAGTTGAATTCATCTCCTGTAAGAATCATTTATTAGTCCCCTTTAGTTTAGTATTAATTTACATACTGTATTGATTACCCTTTCTCATGTTTTCCCATATTATGTTGATGTATTTGTCGCGATCTGGTCTCATATGCTCATGATATACACCTAAAATGTGCAATAGCTCATGTATTGAGTGTCCAACTATGTGAAAACAATCCTTCACGTTTAGATTTAGAATACTTGGCCCGTAAGCGTTACATCCTATATCAGAGTAGCAACCCGCATCGTGACCTGTGATATTGACCCAATTACTTTTTGTTGAAAGCTCTGCATAGTCATCAATACGGATGAATTTAATGCATGTCTTCGACATTATCATTTGTAATGCAGTCTCCAGCATAATGAATTTTAGCGGCTCATTAACTGGAACAGATAATAAATGTTTAAATATTTAGATCTGATAAATAAGCTTTAAATATTATATAGTAATATTTGATTTTTATTGGAATACGTAAACTTTATTTGTAAACTTGTTTTAGTTGCATGTAGACTACTATTTTGACTTAGATTTGCAGAAACGACTCACCTATGGATGAATGAACGTAATAGTTGACGATACCATTAGGCCATAGTAAAGTTTTCTCCGTTGTAATGGTTTTTCTTGATTTCCGACGTATATCTCCTTCTCGTTGTACTCCTTCTTCAGGATTATTATATTGAGACCATAAATCAACTATGTAAATATAAATAGGGTAATTATTCTTATTAGTGACCGATATTCATAGTCGATTCTTATATTCAAGACTGTACACTGAAAAAAAATATAGTCAAGATATATTTATTTGATATAAGAAATGTTAATTTGATTTAACAATCATTTTTTTTACTGAACAAATATTT